CCAACGCTTTCCCCCACACACTACCCCCCAAGCTATCAGCAGCCATCAACGACCAACGGCAACGACATGGGGCCCCCAAGCAATGCACGCCGCACACCCTGCTCCACACCCTCCAGCCCCCCTGGAGTTGGCGGCTAATTTATGTCCTCCAGGTAACCGCCGCCAAGAAGAAGTCCTCAAAGCCCAAATTAAAAAGGGGGCAAGAGTAAACCACCAGAAGGAACGTTCCAGCCATTGTTTCTGTTTTTTGTTTGCTGTTAGCTATTACTGAGTTACCATTAGGGTTTGTTGTAACCCCAGCGCGCCAGCTCGTCCCGTACGAGCTGCCGACTTCGAGAACTCATAAGGCCCACCTTGCGCAATCCGACGTCATCCAACGACGCAAGCTCGTCCAAACCGCCAGCAACTGCCCCACTAATGGAGCGGGAATAGTGGCCTAGACCCAACGAATCGAGCAACTCCGAAACCGTGGAGGGACGCTGCGATGGCGGCCGACGTATGGCAGCGGCGGCGGCGGCGCTGCCGCCGCCGCTGGCAGCGCTAGGAGAGGACGTCTTCTGGGGAGCTGCGAATTGTTGTTGTTGTTGTTGTTGCTTTCCTTGTTGATGCTGCTGCTGTTGGGTTTTTGTCGGCAGCATCGGCCCTGAGGCGGCATGACGAAGGCCCACGCCGATGCCGTACTCAACGGCGGGTGATTGGGACGGGAACAAGGCCTCAGCTGATACAGGCATCACCGGTATCGTGGCGTCGATGACGGCGGCGGCGGCAGCGGCGGCAGCACCGCTCGCAAACGGCCCCGCTGCGGAGGAAGAATCGTGCAAATCAGGCTGCGATGCCGTACGCAGCCTCGCCAGCCTCGCCCGGGTCTCTGACGACAGCCCCGCATACGGCGAAGATGCTCCAAGTGCGGTGGCCGCGGCGCCGTCACCAGCGGTTGCGCCGGCCGCTGTCGGCGAAAACAACAGCGGCGGCGAGCCTAGAGATCCCGCCGTGGACATGCCGCCAGCGCTGACGCTGCCGGCGGCGGCGATGCCGCCGCCACCAAAGCCACCCCCAGGGAGCGCGCCGCTAGAAGCGGCCTTAGGTGGGACCTGGATCCGCCGAATCATCGCGCCGCTGATACCCCTGCTGGCGGCATTGCCGGCGTCACCACCATTGCCGCCGCCGGTGACGGCGGTGTCCGCAGAATCCAACTTCAGAAGCGGCTCCGACGTCGACTGCGACGTCGACTTCGCAACATCAAGATCTCCGGCAAATGGCACGCTCTCATCCGTTTTATTGACCAGCATCGCCGCCGGAACCATTGTCGTACCTGTTGCCGTACCCGTCAAGAGCTGCTGCTCCCCACCGACCCGTGGACGAAGCCCCCCAGCCCCCACCTGCTGCTGTTGTAGCTGTAGCTGTAGCTGTGGCTGTAGCTGTGGCTGCTGCTGTGGCTGTAGCTGTTGTTGTTGCAGAGCCGTAAGCAGCTGCTGGTGCATGAGCGTCGCCGCTAGCGGCGATGCGCCGCCGCCGCCGGCGGCCCCGCCGCTGCCTCCGCCGCCGGCGGCGGCCGCGAGGCCGGCCAGGCGGAAGGATGCATTGCGCGACGGTACGCAGGACCCCACCCTGGAGCCGGCGCCGCCGCCTGGCCGTGGTGACGCCGATCCCGATCCCGATGGTTGCTGCTGTTGTTGAGATCCAGCATGCATCCGCTGCATCCGAGTCAGACCGGCGGCGGGCGGTCCCGGCGACAAGTCCTGTACGAGCAATGCGTCGCTGGTATGCCGGCGGCTTACAAGGCCAGCGGCGGCTGCTGTGGCGGCGGCACTGCCGCCGCCGCCGCCGCCGGCCATGCCCAAATTCGCGACGCTGCCACTGCCGCTAAAGCCCGAGATGCCGCCGGCGGCCGAGATGACGCTGCCGTAGGCCTGTGTGACAGCGGCGGCAGCGCTGCCGCCGCCGCCAGCGGTAGCGGCGCCGGCGGACGCGGAGCTGGCGGTGGCGGAAGTGGAAACTAGGGGCGGCGCCGTCGTGTTCCCCATATCCAGATTGCCGACGTCACCACTCGCGACAGCGGCGAGCTGTCACACGATGAATACGGCGAAAAAGTTTTTTTTTATTTTTTTGGTCTTCCTAGGGTTTCAGGTTCTTTATTAGGATTAGGCGTTAAAAGGGAGGCTACTCGGAGCATGAATCCATCCGACGATGTACGACATGCTAATGCTGATACACAGGGGTAACCCTGTCTGCGGTTCTGCTTTCCCTGAAGCCCCGCTCCCTAGGGTGGGCCCCCTCCCTTTGTAAATTCCCGCCCCGCCCGTTCCACTCCCCTGTCCTCTCTCTTCCCCCTACTAGACCTCCGCACCTCAGATCGTCCCACCTTCCCACCTTCCCACCCACCCCCTCACCGTAGACATGATTTCATGACCCCCCGCATCCAGTGTCACGTGAGGCACCTGGGCTAGGGAGATGGCGTATCCCGAGGCTGTACGACAAAGGGAAAAAGTGTACGACATCAAGTAAAGGGAAACGTAAACGTATTTCGTGGGGATGGCAGAGGACGAACACCAGTCGTGGGACTCTGTGTTTTCCAGTTTTCCTTCGTATGTAGATAATCGCTCTAAAATTGAGGACGTAAAAATAAAAAATATCATTCTATCATTTAAAAAGAAATTACTAGAGGATTTCTGGATATTAAACTCTTGAAGATATAAACTTAGGGTTATATTTCTAATATGCAAAGGACCAAAGGACGTGAAAGCGACGTACAACGTACAACGTACGACAAGTGCAACGCTGCGCAAAGACCTCCACCCGTTTTAGCTATAAACACAACAAAAGACCTCTCACCCCGCATCTCTCCCTCTCACAGCAATTTCCCAAGCACTTCTACTTCCTCTACTATCCTCTACAAGCTCCCCCCCTCAGGTGGTGATCCTCGGACTCCCCCCCGGAGCCCACTCCCTGCTACTCCTGCCCAAACTGCGACCCCTCCCTCACCGTCACTCTCCCGGCTTCTGCTCGGACCAATCAACGGGGAGCCGCTGCCTGCCGTACTGACATTGCCGCCGACAGCGTCACTGGCGCCGCTCAAATGGCGGTTCGAAATCATGGGGATGATCTTATAACCCGGGCCGCTGCCACCATTACCGCTGCCACCGCCGCCAGCGGCGGCGGGTGCCGAAGTACGCACCGTGGTAGTGGCGGTGGCGGCGGTAGGCGCCACCGCCGCCGCCGCCGGAGGCGGCGGCGCCGGCGGCGCCGGCGGCGGCGGACCAGCAAGCATCGGCCTTCCCACCATCGGCCCTGCACTCAAGCTCAACCCCAGCCCCGGTCCGGTGCCGTCTCCCCCCGTTCCCCCCCCCGCAGCCCCGCCAGCTGCTCCCAGCAGGCAGTTGAGCACGGTTATCCCGTGCGCCCCCGAGGTGGCGGCCCGCAGGTAGTCCAGCACTGCGGGCGGCTCCAGGTGCGAGTAGTCCAGCATTCCCGGGCTCATGGAGCCGTCGGGGCCACCCGCCACAAGGTACGTGCGAATGATACCCAGACTCTGCACACAAACAAACAAACAAACAAACAAACAAACAAACATACAGACATACATACAGACACCAAGAGAGGGAATCCAAGCAAGGGGTACAATGTGGCGTGGTGGGTATGACAGTATGTCTGTCTGGCAGTGTGTGATGGTATGCTGTGATACGGCGGTATGGCGGTTGGGAGTAGAGAGGGCTGTGACAGGACTTCCAAGGGAAAAGAGGAGAAGAGAGGAGAGGCGCAGAGGGGAGGGACGGAGCAGGGGGAGACCGCCGGACCCGCCGGACGCGCGGACGCAGCCGCTCTCTTGCGCCGCCAGTCCACCACGCACCGCAGAGGGGGGTTTGGGCGGGCCGGGGAAATACCACGGGGGTATTCAGCACTCTAGCCAACAAAGCCCCCCTCACCACCCAGCTTGCGACAGCAGATCCCGGTTGGGGATCCAGCTGACAGTGACGCTATGGAGCTGAGGTGGTCGGTCGTGGTGATAGCAACATCGTAGCAACATGGGGATCTCTAGACGCCTGTGATTGTGTGTGCGTCAGCGTGTGAGTGTGTGTGTGTGTTGTGTAATAATATAAAGATGTATATGCAGAGCGTGTGTACGACAACTGTACGACCACGCACCTGGACCTGCGACGTGGTGTATGCCATGAACAACTCCCCGCCAGCGGACCGCACCCGGTTGTGGACCACCTCGGTCACGTGGATGGTGTTCGGGAGAGCGGTAGCCTGAAGGCGGGAAGAGGGAAAAGGGGGTGACAGGGGGGGAAAGAGGGGTTGAGGAGAAAGGGGGGAGGAGAAACCTATGTACGGCTGAAGGAGATGGGAGGAAAGGAGAGGCAAGTGGGAAGGCGAGAAGGAGGAGGGAAGGGTGGCATGCTCCAGAAGGGAAACCTCACAGCTGATATCATCTACTTGTACTAACTCCAAAACCCTAATTTAGGAGAAGTTCAAGTGCGTGAGAACCAGGAAGGGTCATTTCATAAATTGACTCGTTTACTCAAATTCAATTCAAATTCAAAACACAACTTCAAGTTCCAACTTGTGGATTAAACATACAAAAGAGGCGCCATAATGGACGATGCGGAGCGCATAGGTACAAGCGCACACATACACACAAACATTTAAACACACATAGGCAGGTGGCTGGCAGAGGTTAAGGCCTGACTTCTGCTCCCGGAGTGTCCGGGTTTAAATCCGACCTCTCGGTGTGTGAGAGGTGTTGAATTGGGAGGTGACCCGCCATCTTGTGGACGGTGTAGAACGCGATTATATCAACTTGCGAGCTGACCAGGAACTAAGTTGAGGCGCCGTTGATCCGCTAGATTTGGTTGGATGCTGGTGGTGAGTTGCCGAACCCAATGAATACATTCTGAAGTCGGATGGGGTGACGGATTAGGGTGCCCCTCTCGCAGGGGAGAGCAGGGAACTGCCTCGGGAAAGGGGGCCGCTGGTGAAGCTATGCCATCCTGTTTCACACATCATACATACACACGTACAAACCAGCGCACCTGCAGACCCTGAGCGAGCCGTAGCGTAGTTCCAAATAGGCTGTAGCGGGGGTATTTGACACCAATCACCCCGCCGTACACTGCGCCCACATGAAGCCCAATCCGGATCTGCATCTTGCCCAATGTATCCGGGTACGGCAGCGAATCTACAGCCGCAAGCATCTCCCGGGCGAGATCCAACATCTGCTTCACCTGTGCGAGCCCGCGTGTATGTATGTGTGTATGTATGTGCGTCACTCAATTCACATCATTATGAAATACCGAACATGAGGAGGGGGACGATGACGACGGCAATGAGATACGCAAGTATTTTTAAATTCTGTGATCTGGAGACAATTTAAAATTTTGCGAACTGGGAAGAGGATGAAAACTGCCCTATCTGCGTGAAGGTGTCATCGGTTTGACGTACAGAGCGGAGGAGATGGGAGGATAGGGAGAACGCAGAAAGGGAGAACAAGGTACGGACGAGAGCACGAGGAGCGAGACGGACTGCTAATGTGGTGGATTTGATACGCAAGGATCATGTCGTACAATTGCCGTACCTGCATGACATTGCTAATGTGCCGGTCCTGTGGCATGTGCCCAAGAGCAGCAACGTACGAGTCCGTATGGCTGTCCATCTGCAAGGGGGAAGGGGGAGGGGGAAAGGCATTAGGGGGGGGACGAGGAAGGGACGGTACACAAAACACACACGGGACGTTAGAAAAAAAGGTACAACACGGTGGCCAAATACCCATTCTGTGCCTCACTTCAAATCGCAATTCCGAAACGTACACGCCTTACCTTGTGCACGCCCATCTTATCCGTGAGCGCGTCAAAAGTGGAGAAGAGGCGGTTCAGTGTGAGGATGCAGTCCGCGGTATCCGCCGCTGCCGCCAGGGCTGAGAAACCCACCACGTCAGCACACAGCACCACCACATCACTGAACTTCTCCACCAGGACCCGGCTGCCGGCGCGCAGAGAGGAGAGGATGTGGGGGGGCAGGATCTGCACGGCATGGCAGTAGCATCGACGGTTGGAAACAACGGTTTGGGGTTTTATAAGGGGTTTATAATATCAGTAGAGGTTATCTTCAAGGTTATTTCCAAGGGGTTAAGCAACAACAGCGGTTTACCTAGGGTTTAGGTTGTGCAACATGGAGGGTTTTAGTACCAGTAGCAGCAGTAGCAGCAGTACTGCTGGCGGTAGCTGCAGTAGCAGCAAGCACCACCACCCTTGGCACATCCTTAGCCACCAAAATCTCTCCTCACCACTCCTAAAATTTCCCGTTTCCCAGGCTCCTCCCTGCCGTTCGCATAATACATACATACAGACGTACACACCCCAAACACCCGTCTTTCCCCCTCCTCCACATACCCCCTTTCAAATTACACACGCCGTACACACACAAGCAGACACGTACAGAAGTACATACATCCGCACACGCACACCTGTCGCAGCAGCGCCATGTTCCGCTCTGCCGCCTCTTGCAGTTGCGCCACCTCCCCCATAAACAGCCTCAGCTGGGTCTCCACACGCGCCATCACCTCTTGAGGCTGGAAGGGCTTAGTGATGTAGTCACACGCGCCGGCCTGTGTGAGTGTGTGAGTGTGTGAGTGTGTGAGTGTGTGTGTTTGTGTGGAGGGGTTGTTAAAGCCCCAAGGGGGGTGAGGGAGGAGAAACCCAAAGCCACAGGGGGTACGTGTGGGGATGAGTGTGGATGGGGAAGTAAAGCCCCCATTCCCGTTGTTGGCGGTCATGTAGGACAACAACTAAAATTCAATTTCAGGTTGCAAATGCATTCATACACAGACACACACAGACACATATATACATACACACGAAACACGTCTCCCCCAATCCCCACCTGCAAACCCTTGATGACGTCCTTCGTGGAGGCCTTCCCGCTGATCATAATGATGGGGGGCGGGACGCCCGGAGTGAGGGACCGCATCTTCAAACACACCTGAGCAGCACAACGACAGGAGAGCCCCCCCGAGGGGAAGGGAGGGGAAGAGAAGGGGCGGGGAAAGGCGGGGAGGGACGGAGAGGGACTCGCGTACATGCGGCTACACAAAAGCCCGGGAAAGGAATGCTGAGGTCCAAAATTACGAACTGCTGCTGCTGCTAGGCGGGGAGGGGAGGAGGAGGCGGGTGGGACAGCAGTCCGAAGTTGGGGGGCAAAGACGAACCACGAACGAGTGAAGCTGCTGCCAAGGAAACATTTAGGGGAGGGCCGGCAGGAGTTAAATGGAGGGGGTAGGACGGGACACGGGGGACATAGGGAGGAGGTGTGTTAGGGAGGGGAAAGGTGGGTGGGTCCGGAAAAGATGGGGTAAAGGTGTAGGTGAGGGGTAAAGGGCGGGTGGGGAGGAGGAAGAGGGCTGACAAGTCAGCAGGATCCGAATTATCCCCCCTTTCGCCCAAAACACACCTCCTCCGACTTGATAAGCCCATAAACGCTTGCCCCAGCCATCCGCCCAGTTATTCCCCCCTCCTTCCACACACACACACACACACACAAACACACATATATATATATATACACATGCACACGCACGCACATACCTCATGTCCCGACATGTCAGGTAGAGTCACATCAAGCAGTACAAGTTTCGGTTGTGGGTCCGACGTAAGGTACGACTCCAGAGCTTCCGTACCCGAGGCGGCGGTTAGTACGTCGTACCCCTCAGCACGAAGCAGATCCTCCAGGATGGTTAAGTTCACT